GCTTCCTTTATTCGCGCTCGAGTGGAGGGCATCGGGTCGAAGATTGACGATGGCCGATAAAAGGGGGTGCTCGATAAGCTCGTACTGCAAGCGAAATACTAATTAGCGAGCCTGTGACTTGAAATCACGTAGACCGGGCTAACCGGAGGGAGCGTCAAACAGGAATTTAATTAAGTGCTCGCGCGAAGTAATCGCGATCGACAGTCCCGCGAGCTGTGAAATCGCGAAAACGTTCGACTTTCCAATTATTCGGATCGATTCTTGTTCAGGCCACATTCCGATGATACCCTACGATCGTCCCTCGCTAACGTTCGTCGTTCTTCCTCCCGATATTGGCCGTGAATCACCGCCAATTTCAAAACGAATCATCGATAAAACAAAAATAACACTTTTATGTTTTCCAATTTGCAACTGTAAAATTATTTTCCATGGAAATGGTACTAAACAAGGACATATTTTCTCTAACGAAACATAAGTAGAAAATGTATGCAAAATATATTATATACTGTTTATGATAGTAATGTAAATAATGCCTGAGGATTATTTACTACTCCCTCGATAACATTCTTCTTGACCCTTGAACTGGAAAGACAATTTAAGAATATATGAAATTCTTATTTTAGAATTTAGATTTTTCAACCGCTAAATATATGGCTGCGCGAACTGTTTGAACGGTAACAATACAAACGCTCTGGGTTCGGGAATATTACGATGGTGGTGAAATTGCACGGTGCTCGAAATAATTAGAGGATCGGTTGCTGGTGTATCTTGGCGCTTATAAGCTTCGTCGCGCTGTTACAAAAGGTAAACATCGGATAACATTCTTCCGAAACGAGGGAAATTCAAAGCGTGTATCGAAACGTTGGCAAATGTTTGTGTACGCGGTGCATAAGCGGAATATAATACCTCCGAACTTCGTTAAAATGGGAATGGCAAGCTCGTAATTGTAACGAGCACAAGGCCACAATGATTTCAATTTACGTTCAAACTATTATTTACGTTTATGACGCGCCACGTGGAAATGTTCAAACGAAATCGTTAAAACGAACATCTATTTTGAAACTTATTAACCAAAAAGTAATTAAAGTTGCGCGTAATAAAACAAAACAATTTGAGACAGACATTGCCTCAGACAAGAGAAAATGTCCGATTTTTCGTATCGATTACTACTTGATAGACTCTGGTTACATTTTATAAAGTTGTCACGGTTTATCACGATTTCCGATTTCATATCCAAATCTAGAATTAATTTCAGATCAAATAGAACAGACTCAGATAAAAATAGAAAGTTGCGTACGTACGAATAGACTCGCAGACAGGCAATCCAGGTTCGATTTTCCACTGGAATCTCGCAAACAAAAAAATTCAATATTTACTGACGTAACAGGCCAAAGGAGTGTTATAAGACTTGGCAGAGCTCGACGAGGTCGCGCCATCTTGGAGACGGACCGCTGAAAATTCCCCACGAACTTTCCTGCTGGAATCATTGCGTCACCGATTCGATGACGTCGAGCGACGAGCTCCGTCTGCCAATGAAATTCCCTTGAATCGAGGGTAACCCTCCATCGTACGCGCGATTAAGGACTTGTTGGTCGCCGCGGTCGAAACCGGTTCTCAAGCGCGAACTCCGTCAGGACTAGAAGTTTAAGATTACCACAGCCAATCAATGATTAGATCAAGGAAGATGTAGTCTCTTGGAACGGTTTCCATGACTACCACCCTCCATTTCTGTATCCTCCTTTCTGTCCTTTCTCAATAACACCCGTCTTACCTCATTCCTTGGCTTCGCGGAAAAGGTCACGAGGTCGACTATCCGTAAAACCGTTCACGTTCTATAATCGCATAATTACCCCGTTGTGATCGTGGATCGTCCTTATACGCAAATGGTGAAACAAAAATGAGTGGATCATGATAAATTAGATTCAAGAGCAGCGTGTGCCAATGTAAGTAGAAATAAAGAACTAATGGGCAGAGATATGGTTGAGCCATACTACTTAAACTGAACTCGAAATTTTCGGAGACTATTTAAACTGATATTCGAACAATGTTACCGTGCCTTCTTCATTGCCTTTCTCGTGTAGAATTGTCACTAGTTTTATAAGTCAAAATGGAGACCTAATGGTCAGAGATAGGTTGAGCCATACTACTTAAACTGAACTCGAAATTTTCGGAGACTATTTAAACTGATATTCGAACAATGTTACCGTGCCTTCTTCACTGCCTTTCTCGCGTAGAATTGTCACAAGTTGTATAAGTCAAAATGGAGACCCAATGGTCAGAGATATGGTTGAGCCATACTACTTAAACTGCGTGAAACCCTAAAAATTTTACTACCGTAAAGTACTACCGTATCTTTTTTACTATTCTCATGCAGAATCAACACAAGCTGTGTAAGTAAAAATAAAGACTAATGGACAGAGATATGGTTGAGCCATACTACTTAAACCGACCGAGCCCGTCGAGTGTTCGAAGGCGAATTTTTCACGGAAACGTAAACCACGTCATTTTGATAAAGCAAGGTTTTACATGATGAACTCGTAACCAGGTTAGGAGATTGACTGTAATTGAAACGGACCGGTTGATATTCCCGAGGGTAAACGAAGTTGAATCTCCATGGCGTAGTCGTCGCAGCTGCGGCTGCATCTTCTGCTCATTAAGGTGGGAGAGAGGACTATTTAAGTGCCTCTGCTGCACTACTTTCAGAACGAAAATTCATCGTCGAGAATGAAGTTTTTAGCCGGGATTACGATTTTTCCGTGTATTTCGCGTTCAAATGTTTCGTTCCTCGCAGTTCCGGAAGCCTCTCGGATGAAAAATGTCAAGTTCTCGTTAGGTTTAAATTACTGGATATCAAAATTATCGTTCGCGTAAATCTACGATATTTGCTGGGTGTGATTCGATGTTTGAGAACGTCGTTCACGGTTCGATCTGTACACGTCTCTCCGAGAATCGGGGTCTGGAAACTACCAGTTAACAGTATCTCAGAGAAAACCGTCTATTCGTGGCTCACTGAATGGCACTTGACGCGTCGTGAGCCCGCACAGTGCGAAAGGACAGAATTTATGGACCGATTTCCTAGTACAAAGGACTCCGCGCTGTACAGGGTATCCACAGGTCCCAGACAGGCCATAGAGGCGGTTCAGGATTTAGGAAACCGCCCTATATTCCCCCATTGGCATTTTGTCTGTTTCCATCTACGAACCCGGTCTTCCGAGACTGCTCGACCGGAAAATGCATATGTACCTTGAGAAAGAAATCAGTAAATGGGGATCGTCCCGACTTTTTAATCGAACTTTCGAAAAATGGCTGCCTAACAGTTACTAGATCGACATTTCCATATTTAAAAATGAAAATTTAGCCACTCTAAGGTATTTTATATCTTTTTTGATAAAATTCTAAAGAAACAAATCGTCCTCTAAAATCACCTTTACTCGCTGTATGGCCCAAAGTTACATCCCCTGTAAGATTAACCTTAAAAGACATATTTTCTGGCGAAATCGACGGGTTTCCCTCACCTCGGCGTTTACCACTTGCCGTGAGCACTAAATGCGATCAATCAGTTCGAATCGAGATTCCAACGAGACACGTCGATCGTCTGTTCCTTGACCGGATTTCCGCCCGATTCGAATCACAGGTCGTTCGCGAAAGATGCAGTCCCGTCGTCAGTTTACTCGTTGCCCGTTCTATCGTTCTTGACATTTTTCACGAGTTTACATGCTGGCGCACGTTCTTGTATCGCTCTTAAATAAGACCGTAGGTGTCGTCCCCCTCTGTATAATATATCGACACAGTTTTTCCCTGCTTTCAACCACACAATGGAATGTCGAAATAGGCAAAATCAGGGACACTTATCGAGGCTGCTCAATCTTTAACTGTCGCCATTACCATTTGGAATCGTTGAAGATCCTAAATGTCAATCACGATTTGGAAGATTACAATCATATTTCGTGGCAATGCGATCTATTCCACGTTCAAAGAGTCTTAAACAGTACTATCGCCGACAGAACGGTAGAGTCACGCCGCGATGAGCATTTCACCGACGCGTTCGCGCATTTCTTTCGAGTCGTCGCTGCTTTAGTCTTCTTCTCAGACAAGCTGTAGTGGCATTAACCTAGAAAAGCATCGTTCGGGTAGCTCGTGGCGAGACAGGCGCGTCATTGTGATCCGCGTTCTGACGAAACATCGTCATTTTCGACGCAGACGAATCGATCATCTTCCACGAAACAATTACATTCCTCGACGTTCTCACTGAAACGACTTCTTCAACTTTGAGTCTCCGAAAATATGATTTATGGCTCGTTCGATCAATCTCGAGAATCTTCTCGGAAAGCTCTTGATCGCTAGAAACAAACGCGAAGCTTTAACGCGGTAGTGTACTTTATACGTAGTATTACCGTAATATTTTGGCAATATTTTTCGTGACCCACTCAAACCGAGATCTCCAGTGTTTTATATTGGTTTAAAAAATCCTTTAATCATCGACTGCCATGGAGGAGCTAAACAAATTCCCAAGATTAAATCCAGATAGGACCACTAAATTTTAAGCGTGAAAGACGATTAGACTAATGATACTTAAAAGGAACCCTCAGATGAGATTCGTAAGTTGAACATTTCTATCCCTCCCAACTGGGACCCCCCTTGGAACTAAAGAACGAAAGACAATATTTAAAAAACGATTACGGTGATAATTCTTAAAACGAACTCCCAGGCACGATTCTATCCCCAACTGGGAGCTCCTTGGAACCAAAGAACGGAAGAAGATATTTAAAAAAAACGAATACAGTAATGATTCTTAAAATGAACCCCCTAACTCAGACACGATTCGTAAATTGGACCTTTCTATTCCCTCTTCGAAGCCAGTGAAACGTGAAACGTGAACAACGTTGTTCGATATCGTTGTGTATAATACCGATGTGTTCATTTTAAGAATCATTGCTGTGGATTGTTTAGCACTCGATGGAATTTGCGTGCGGATTGGTAAAAGTGGGTGATGTTTTCAGCTACGGAAGCCAGTGTCGACTCTCTCGATCCCGGGGGCGATGAAGAACAGCGGCGGCGTGGCCGGTGGGGGCGGCGTGGGTGGCGCCGGGGGCGTCGGCGGGGGTGGTGGTTGCGGTAGCGGCGGTGTTACCGGAACCGGCGAGGATGCCGGGATCGCCCTTGTTGGCGTCCACTCGGAGTACCCACGGTACATGGACGACCGCGTGCTCGGCGGTCAGGTAAAGGGCCCATCGGGCAGCATAGGGCCCGGCTCGAAGCACAAACCAAACGTCGGTTACCGGCTGGGCAGACGGAAGGCCCTGTTCGAGAAGCGGAAGCGCATCAGCGACTACGCGCTCGTCATGGGCATGTTCGGCATCATCGTGATGGTCATCGAGAACGAACTGTCCAGCGCCGGTGTCTACACCAAGGTGAGTACACTTTTCCCTAATTTCTTCTTTGCTCGTAATTTATAGCGTTAGAAATGCTTCAGGATTTTCAGGACAGACAGTACGCGTTACTCGATTCAAATTTCGCGCCAGTCGTCTCGCCATGGCACCATGCAAAATGCCCGTGGGCTATGCCCATAACCTCACTTTTTAAATGAATATTTCTGAAATTGGAAATAATTCTCCATTTTAGAAAAGAGATGATATCTCATTAGCGTTGGCAGAGTTTGAAATATTGAAAGCCAGTTTTTGATCGAATCAATATTTAACGAATTTTGTAATAGAGAACAAAGGATCAACACATAATAGTTAATACATAGATTGACGCGTACATGCTCGAAATAAACATTTTTCGTTCGCGTCGCGAGACAAAGGAAATTCTACCTGACGGGATATCTGACGGGATTGCGGATTTTTGGTAATCACGATAACGTCGATCTAACCGATATTTCGCGTCTGTAAAATCTGAATCGGGACAACTGTAACGCGCTATGAATCGCTCGTATTTGCATGCAGAAATTATGCTTGGGGTCGTATGGTGCGCGTAAACTCCCTGCAGACATTTGCATGAGAATCACGTGTCCGGACTTTTATCGATAGATTACCATCGCCGGAAATTGAAATGTACAGATAGCGGACGTGTTACTCGATTCAAAGTTCGCGCCATTACGCCGTTGTCTCGTTAAACCGCCTTACGACGCGTGTCCGTTGGCTGTGCCCATAATCTCACCTTCCGTACGCCTTATTTTAAAAACTTTTACGCGCGAGATATTACAGTTGTAATGGAGTAACTCTCACGAACTGAATGTTCGAAGTTTTTCGAGTTACATCGATTAGAAACTCGCTAAAAACTTGCTGATCACTTTTGTTTCGAAGACCTTCGTTGCAGAAAGTTTTCTACTGCACATGTTTCTTTCTATTTCATTTTATTTCTATGAACAGCAATGATAAGAGAATATAGCTTAAACGACAATATACAAGGCGGGCTACAGCTGGCTGTGTTTAATAATTTCACGGTTTCTAAAGATCTGCATATATTTACTCCATGCATATTGCAGCAGAGGCCAAGAAACAAGTAAAACCTTGAAATTACTGTAGTTGGAGTGTCAGAATCTACGGAGGAAGACTTAAAATTTGAAGTTGGTCTTTCGAGCCAAATCCACTTTGAACTGTTGATGAATTTAGAATAAAACACATTGAATAGTGTTTCGTAGCAAACAGAAGCCTAATCTACGCAGCTCTACCGACGTCAGCCAACATCGATCATGGGACAAACTTCTTGTATTAAATTTTCTAGTTTTGTTTGCCTTTATCGAACAGGTCACATACTCCATTGAAGCAGTTACACGCCCTAAATTCTACAGCTCGACATTTTCCAGTTAACTCAGCGCTACACTGCTCTCGTTCAATTAACACGCACTTCGCCCGCCAATGGGCGAATCAATCGGCTGAATGTCTCTTCTGAAAGCCCCGCTTTGGTGTCTCGCGAGAGGAATAAAGTTGTCGTTTCCTGTAATTAAGTACCAGCCTGAAATGGCAATTAAGTGTCCCGATCATCGGTGGTAAAAAGATTCTTCGTCTTCCGCTATGCTGTTCATCCTACTTTCCTGCCGTATACCCATTTCACCCTTGGAACGATATTCTTCAATCGGTTGACAGAGTTTCCCGAAGACCGGAATAATTTTACGAAGAATTTTCTCTACCGACAGAAATATCAAAACTAATATCGCGCTTTAGTTTAAAGCTTGTCGTTGCAAGTTTAATTAAATTTTCTGGGCCCCTTTGTTGGAATGTTTAACAATTAAAATTAATTATAATTTGGCTGCCAGAAGATCTTAATAGAAAAAATAATAGATGGCGAGAGTAATACCAAATTCGCGTGGATGTCGAAGATCCGAACGTTCCGAAAAATTTCAGTAGCCTTCTGACAGATCCCGCGAAGATCATCCCGGAAGTTGATGGACAGAAAGGGGCAAAATTCATCGGCCGACACGAGCACTCCCGGATTCGCGATGCCAATCAAACGCGAAAATATTTGCTCCAGTTACTCGTGTTACGTTGAACTCTATTTGTCTGTAAAGATCAACGAATCGTTCGAAGACGTTAATCGAGGTTGTCGTTTCATACTTTCTAACGAAAAATATAGCAAACTCTTCGGAAACTGTGCATTTCACTGAATTATCTTCCGACATTTAAAGTATTCCATTTAATGTATTAAATGTATTTTAATTTAATGCATTATATCCTATTTCACCGCCAATATAATGGCGATGGAAAATTTATTGGCTGCTGTATCAAACAGTGATTGAGAATCTAATTAACGCTTGTTCTAGCCAGGTTAGGTAAATTAAAACAATCAAAACCAGATTCTCCATCGTCGATAAATTTTTGCCATTAAAGTTCATTGATCGTGATTTTATGAACTTTCTCACGCAGACGAGCCTATTGAAATTAAAGATTTTAATTTGGCAGGCTTAAGAAACATTTTCACTTTTTTAGTTAGCCTCAGTAAAATCATGTGAAATTCTAATTCAAACGATTAAAAAGATTTACTTAACAATCGAACGCTACATAAAAATCTCAATGACTCGACAAACATTGAAAAAAAGTTTCTCGTCTCCTGTCCAACTGCCGACTGTCAATTTGCAGGCTATAATCTGAGAGGGTGATAATTTACTTTCTCAGAGGGTGAGGCCGACTCGCCTAACCCTTGTCAATTGGCAAAAAGGTGAGAGCACAGGGAATTAGGTTCCGCGAAGACTTCAAATTACTGACATGTTTGCCGTCCCGCCCACCCACTGATCATTTCTCAAATTGCTGAATTTTTCTCCGACCCCGTCGCCCCCTTTCAAAGGACACCTAACGAAGTCGATGTTTTCTACCCTCCGCCTATTCGTCTAATCACCCTTGCCCCGTGCATCGTCGTCGCTGTTAAATCTAGCGTGAGCAAAAGGGACGCCGTCGAGCGACTGAATTACGCTGTTGACCGTAGCAATCTCTCGTCTGATCTCGTGCCAAGAACGAACGAATAGATTAACAATATTGGTATTGAGGAAGGGAGGCGAGCCAGACGACAGAGGGAGGGAACTGTCTGTGTGTCTGCTAGCTCGACGAAAGAAGGCCAGGGAATGCATTCGATTGCTCCCTTTCTTTCAGCCGCGAACGTTCTGACGGGATTCTGGGCCAAATAATACATATCGGGGAAGCCCGTTCGACGTGTGTGCCCCTCATAAGCGCTTATCCCTTCACTGGCAGACTCCATCGACGAAACTCAAATAATTTCACCATATCGAGCCATTTTTTCTGCTCTTTTTCTCGAAAACTTCTATACATTTATATTTCTTCCTAAAAGCGGTAACGCAAGACAGTTTAACATTCGATAAGATTGGTTTTTCTGGATGTATTCGATCCAAGAGTACATCAACTTTAACCTTTAACCAATTTTATTAATTAAAGACACGGAGCACTTGTGAGAGAGGTACAGTTGAGCGTATCCCTCTAGTGGCGACTGCGGGAAATCGTTACAAACTTCGTCTTGAAGTTATACCAATATTTATTTTACAGTTGAGATAGAGAAATACGCACAGAAGGAAATAGAATTGACATTGAGATTTATAATTTAATTAGAAATTGTAAACCTGATTTTGGAATATTTTAATGGCAAATAATGTTAAAATATTACGTAACGAGTTCGGGATTTATTTACACTGTCACAGATTTGGTCGTAACACGAAGGCAGCCGAGTTTTCCTATAAATTTTTGCAATTTTTAAACGAGTTACGTCAAAGCCAACATGTTTGAAAGATAGGTACACGCGGCACCTGCTGCCTCGCTTTTATGAGATAAAGTTTCATCCGTTAACACGAAAATATACTGCGAAATGTCGATCGGTCGCGAAGGTTCGTGTATCGATGCACAAGCGACGAACTTTGGGCGTTGGAAGTAGAGAAGTTGACAAAGGGAGATTATTAAAGTCATTTTTCGAAACACCCTATTTCGCAAAATGTGGATAAATTACGTGACACTGTCGACAAAACGCTAAATTACATCGCCAATGAATAAATCTTTCATACCAGTTTGTATTATTCAAAAGAAAAATAAAAGTAAAACTCTGTTTTGTAGCCATTAAAGCTTCGATCGGGGTGAATTTCTCAGAACTACCCCTAAGCGTGTGTTTTCAAATTAGAAACTTTTGTTTTTATTTAACGAGATACAAATATCCGTACGATCATAGAATTTCAGAGAAACCTTTTAAACATTTTAAACTTGAGACATAAAATTTATGAATCTCACACTTTGTGCCCAACAAATTTAATTTGTATCGTTTCATCGATAACAATAAAGACCGATCGGTTGAAAAGCTAAATAGAATTGGGGTTAATAACATAACTTCGTTTAAGTGGTTGCAATCGAGGCTGCGTATGACAATGGCGGACGTCTCTGATCCTCGAAAGTCACCGATGACGCTCCGTATGCATAATCTTCGAGGAACACAGACATTTGCGTCCGTTCGTTCTCGCTTATACGATTCGTCAGCTAACGCTAAGAATTTGAAAATTTCCGGCCCCCCTCGCAGAGCGGCATCGACTTGCAAATGCTGATGGAAGCGCGGAATCCCTCGAGAAGGGAAATTTATAAATTCGAGAAATCGATGCTCGCGTCGAACGTCTCATTTTTTATGCATAGCTTCCCGTTCGATGAGTCTGTCATAAATGGCGGAGAAACGTGAGAGGGGGAGCATTTGTCCCCGGTTTTCTCGCGCGTTATAGCAAGCACAGTTTCGCAGGATACCGCGTTACAGAGGGTGGCAAGTTACGTGTAAAAGAACCGGAAGACCGACGTGTGTGAAAGGGAAGCCAAATACAGGTGTAAGTCCGAAGGAAGCTATTTGAAGTTTCAAAGAGTTCCGCGCGTGAAAAGAGTCCGAGTGCTGGTGGTTCGCGGGCTTAAAGCTCTCTGATTCTTCGGAGTAACGTAATATC